GGAAATGTGAGGAGGTGCGGCGTGTGGAGCGTGGATGCGAGCGGGTCTGGCAGCGGCGAGCGTGAGGTGGGGAGGAGGTGCGGCGCACAGTGTGTGGAGCTGTGAACAGGGCCAACTGATCGGAAGCCGATTAATCGATTATTGTAAAAGTTGACAACTTTTTCAATAATCGATTATGTCGATTAGTTGTTGCAGCCCTAAATTTAATTCTACTTTTACCATTAGAACATGGAACCCACGTTCTGAAAACAATTGTATTTCAAATGAAAAGTTACTGGTGTATGGCCGTCTCTAGTATCACACTGCTGAGATCAGACATCACAGCCACCCAAGGAATGCGGGGGCTGGGGAAGAATGCGGGGGCTGGGGAAGAATGCGGGGGCTGGGGAAGAATGTGGGGGCTGGAGAACAGTGTGACTAGAAGATCTCTTAGGACCAACTGACCTATGACCAACCTCCATTCACATGGAACCGTTGTCGGGGCTTAAACATTCTCCTTTGAATATCCCACTACGACCACATAGAACCACAGCCATACACTGTCTCTCTATTGTGCTTGATGTTTAGTCCAAGATGTACAAATCCAGGACAACATTCCATTCCAACTGCCTATTACTAGTGCACAAAAGACTCCACTGCAGAGGCTCCCAGACCATGGTGGGATTTGAGGCTACCCTGAGGAGGCTCCCAGACCGTAATGGGATTTGAGGCTACCCTGAGGAGGCTCCCAGACCGTAATGGGATTTGAGGCTACCCTGAGGAGGCTCCCAGACCGTAATGGGATTTGAGGCTACCCTGAGGAGGCTCCCAGACCGTAATGGGATTTGAGGCTACCCTGAAGAGGCTCCCAGACAGTAATGGGATTTGAGGCTACCCTGAAGAGGCTCCCAGACCGTGCTGGGATTTGAGGCTACTCTGGGGGGATCCCAAGGCATGCTGGGATTTGAGGCTACCCTGAAGAGGCTCGCAGACCGTAATGGGATTTGAGGCTACTCTGGGGGGATCCCAAGGCATGCTGGGATTTGAGGCTCCCATGTAAACACTTCTAAAGCAGAATTAGATTCAAGGCTCTCAGGGCATGCTGCAATGTAAGGCTCCATTTTGGAAACTCCCTGGGCATGCTGCGATTTGAAGCTCCCTTGCGGAGGTTCCAGGGGTATGCCAGGATCTGAGGCTCCCTTTGGAGGCCCCCCCAAGTCAGGCTGGAATATAAGACTCCCCTAAAAGTCTCTCTGTGTATGCTGGAACAATTTCCCTACTGAAAACATTAGAGCCATGCTATCAACTGAGGCTCCCAAAGCAGGTTGGGATTTGTAGTCCCTCACCTGCACTAACCGTGCACAGTGGGGTATTACCTGCCTGCTGCTGCTTTTGCTGCGACAATACAGGGGCACCCCGCTGGTGGCCGTCAGGCACAGAAGGAACACAGACGACTCCTCCATTCCTCTCACATCTCCTCTTCACCCCTCTCTTTCTGCATCACACATCTCTCAGCTGCCATCTTGCGTCCGGGGCACGCCGGGAAAAGACGCCAGCGCTGCAAGAAGCCGTAGCCTGGCAACAAAAGGGGGCGTGGAACTGATGTCGTCAGACGGCGGTGGAAGGAAGCTGCGGCGAGCGGCCACAAGAGGGCGCCAACAAACACATCCCCGCCCCCTTTTATGAATAGAAGTGGTAGGTGCCAGTAGCGCAGTGTTGTATAAATAGCAGCCTGGCTTTGTGCTAGTGTGTTGCAGTATGAGGACTGCAGCGGAGTGAGAGGATGGGGACACTGCCAGAGCTAGGAGAGAATAAACTAGAAGTCTGAATAGTGATAACAGAAACCTTAATTCTTGGTCATGATAGCTGGGCAAACACTGCCTTTAATCATAAGATCAAATATATCCTCCAGAGTGATTCCAAATCGTGTTTTTCATAATCCAATGTATGATAATGGTGATGACAACGACATAATTGTATAGGACTTCACTTTCCCCTGCATTTGGGATCAGTTTGAGCTGCTCCTGAGATCATCCGTGGCCCCAGGGCAGCCATCAGAAATGTTGGGGCCCGTTACATGGCTTTAGGACGCACACCCCACCCCCGTGCAACGCCGCCACACTGAGCCAGTCACACTGTTATTATACATTTATATAGCTCTGACATATACCGCAGTGCTGTACAGAGTACACTGAGCCAGTCACATCAGTCAAGCTTGGAGCGGTGGAAGTAAAAAAAAAAGAAAAGTGTGGTGTGTGCAATATAGTGAAATGGAAAGTGTAAAATTATACAACAATGAATGCAGAATGGCACCGGCTATAGAGAACTACAAATCCCAGGAATATTACATTATACAGCGCAGTACAGAATACCACCAGCTATAGAGGAATACAGCAAATCCCAGCAATATAATATGCATACAGTGTATAATGCATTGCTGGGATTTGTAGTCCTCTATAGCTGATGGTACATATACATCGCAATACACCATCAGCTATGGAGGATTACAACAAATACCAGCAATACATTTATACAGCATGTGGGGGGGGGGGGGGGGGGGGGGGGTGCAGGTTGTCTTACCTGCACACTCTTCAAGCAACTTTACTTTCTTCCAAGATCTTGGGACTGTCGGCACCTACCGTTCTCCCACACTGCAGTCTCCCTGCAACGACGTGATCGTCTTGGTGGGCAGCGTCTTAGCGGGCTGCGTCGGGAGAGAGCTCAGAGCTGGGTGAGGAGGGGAGGAGGTGCGGCGTGTGGCATGAAGCGTGCGGCACGCGTGAAGCCGCGAACGGAGGCAACTAATCGAAAGCCAACTAATCGATGATGGAAAACTTGACCTATACCGCAGTGATGTACAGAGAACCCTGAGCCAGTCACATCAGTCTCTGTACAGGGGAGCTTACACTCTAATGCAAAATGGCACCAGCTGTAGAGGGACTATAAATCCCAGCAATACATTATACAGCAATGTAGTACAGTATATGAATTTGACTTAGGGATTAGTGACCCGCTGTAGTCTAGGCTTAGCGACCCGTGGACTCTGGGCTTAGCGACCCGCTGGACTCAGGGCTTAGTGATCCACTGGACGCTGGGCTTAGTGACCCGCTGGACTCTGGGCTTAGTGACCCGCTGGACTCTGGGCTTAGTGACCCGATGGACTCAGAGTTTAGTGACACGCTGGACTCTGGGCTTAGTGACCCAATGGACTCAGGGCTTAGTGACCCGCTGGACTCTGGGCTTAGTGACCCGATGGACTCAGAGTTTAGTGACCCGCTGTACTCTGGGCTTAGTGACCCAATGGACTCAGGGCTTAGTGACCCAATGGACTCTGGGCTTACTGACCCGATGGACTCAGGGCTTAGTGACCCGATGGATGCAGGGCTCAGTGACCCGATGGACACAGGGCTTAGTGACCCGCTGGATGCAGGGCTTAGTGACCTGCTGGACTCAGTGCTTAGTGACGCGCTGGACGCAGGGCTTAGTGACCCGATGGACTCAGAGTTTAGTGACCCGCTGTACTCTGGGCTTAGTGACCCAATGGACTCTGGGCTTACTGACCCGCTGGACTCAGGGCTTAGTGACCCGCTGGATGCAGGGCTTAGTAATGCGCTGGACTCAAGGCTTAGTAAACCACTGGACGCAGGGCTTAGTGACACGCTGGATGCAGGTCTTAGTGATGCACTGGGCGCAGGGCTTAGTGACCCGCTGGACTCAGGGCTTAGTGACCCCCCGAACTCAGGGCTTAGTGACGCGCTGGACGCAGGGCTTAGTGACCTGATGGACTCAGGGCTTAGTGACGCACTGACGAGCCCACCATAGCTGCTGCACAGCCCCTCTGGGACTCTCTATGGTGGGCTCTGCAGGGGTCTCAGGTGTGCTGGTCAGGGCTGCATCCCCCCTTTCTCCCTCCCAGCTCCTCTTACCTGCTCCTGGTGCCTGTACACATGGCCTCCTCTGCCGCCAGACTGGCCGGAAGTGACGTCACTTCCGTCCGGTCCGACATCAGATGAGCAGCGGCACTGATGGGGCCCCAGCCTGTCTCGAAGCCGCTGGATCGGCAACGCTGGGGCCCTGCGCTGCTAGGGCCAGGCCTCCTCCGCCGCAGTGGGGGCCCGGCCGCCTCCTCGCCTTTCACCAATAATGAGCGCACAGTTCAGCAGAAAAGAACACACAGTTCAGCAGTAAAGAACGCACAGTTCAATAGTAAAGAACGCACAGTTCAGCAGTACAGAACGCACAGTTCAGCAGTACAGAACGCACAGTTCAATAGTGTGATATTTAGATGTGGGCATTAGAGTGTAAACTCCTCTGTAAAGAGACTGATGTGACTGGGGCTGCAACAACTAATCGACTAAGTTGATTAAAATCGTTGATGGAAAATGTTGTTGTTTTCCATCATCGATTAGTCAGCTTTCGATTAGTTGCCTCCGTTCGCGGCTCCACGCGTGCCGCACGCTTCATGCCACTCGCCGCACCTCCTCCCCTCCTCACCCAGCTCTGAGCTCTCTCCCGCCGCTGCCCGCTAAGACGCTGCCCGCCAAGATGATCACGTCGTTGCAGGGAGACTGCAGTGTGTGGGAACCTGCACCCCCCCCCACGTGCTGTATAAATGTATTGCTGGGATTTGTTGTATTCCTCCATAGCTGATGGTGTATTGCGCTGTATATGTACTCAGCTATAGAGGACTACAAATCCCAGCAATACATTATACACTGTATGTATATTATATTGCTGGGATTTGCTGTATTCCTCTATAGCTGGTGGTATTCTGGATTCATTGTTGTATAATTTTACACTTTCCATTTCACTATATTGCACACACCACACTTTTTTTTTTTTTACTTCCACCGCTCCAAGCTTGACTGATGTGACTGGCTCAGTGTTCTCTGTACAGCACTGCGGTATATTATTTTCAAAAATTAGTTGGCCGATTAAGTTCGATTAATCGGATAAAAAATGTAATACATTGGAAAAAATGGCTCCAGTGATGGACTACTAGTTTGTATTGAGAGGTTTCTATTGCTGGGTTTTGTAGTCCTCTATATCTAGTGGTATTCCGCATTGCACTGTATATAATGTATTATTGCTGGGATTTGCTGTATTCCTCTATAGCTGGTGGTATTCTGTATTGCGCTGTATAATGTAATATTGCTGGGATTTGTAGTCCTCTATAGCCGGTGCCATTCTGCATTGATTGTTGTATAATTTTATTAAATTCACATCACTTGTTTTTATGGCTTGTTCACACCAATTGCATTGCGTGCCAGAGAAGCAGCTGCTGGAACGCATCGCAATCGCTCACAAAACCTCCCCCTGCGTTCTGGGGCAGGAGGGGGTGTGGTAATGCATTGAACTCAATGGCACCGCAGCCACACCTCCCCGCCCGTAGTGCGATCGGACGCATAGCAAAACATTGCCTGCTGAGTCACCAGCAGGGAGGGGAGATTGTCAGCACTGATGGAGATGGTGCAGCATGATCTCCCGGGACATTAAAGTGAAAACCGATGGGGGGGAGGGAAGCTACGGGCCCTTTCCTGTTTGTGGGCCATGCCCGAATGGCCGATACTCATGTAAGGGTCCTGGGCGGGCCCCCCAGGTTGCCCGGGTCCCTTACATGAGTATTGGCCGTACACCCCACGATGGTGGCCCTGCGTGGCCCATTCATGCTGCTCAGCTCTGTCAGCGAACGCATGTTACATGCATTCATTCGAATGGGCTGGTGACGTACCAAAATCCAGAAAAAAATATGTGCCTGCAGTATTTTTATGCAGGGGCCCCCTAGAATTATAGCCACCTGAGGCCGGTTGGGCAGGTTGTGATGGTGATGAACATTCCGGGGGGGAGGGGGAGGGAGGGCAGAGTGCCAGTACCTCTGGCCCCCAGCTCTGCCCGGCGTCCCCCCCAGCTCACTGACGTCACTGGCTGCCAGGAGCTGGACTGGAGGCCAGCTGGGGTGTCCTGGTCAGTTCTTGGCAACCGGTAATGTCAGTGAGCTGGGCAGGACGGCGGCCATGGTTAAGAGCGCTTAGCAACCTGGGGCACTCTGGCTAGAAAGGGAGCGGTAGGTGCTTCCCCACGTGACCCAATGAGAGAAGATTTCCTCTGACCGGCAGTGCCGTAGGGAGCTGGCTTCACAGGCAATCAGGAAGCCGGGTGGCGAGTAATGACCCAGCATTGAGCGGCAGAACAGTCGGCTCCTCACGAGCCCCCTATGTGATAGCAAATTGGAGATGACAGGTTGTCTTTAAGGTGACATTAGGGGTCTATTAGACCTAATGTCACAAGTTGCGTTCTCTTGGTGCAAGGACCACTGCGTCCACATAGGGCACCCTTGTTTTCCCTTGGTGCTGGTTTCTGAGTACCCCTCACTATGGCAGATAAAAAGCACAAAAGGGCTTTGGGTACAAAGGGTAGCTAGCCCTTCAGCAGCTAAAAGGCAAATGGCATTTTCTGATAACCCCCTGGGGTCTCTACCTCATGGTTTGT